TGGACGGCCTATATTAGTTGTGCTCAAAAAACATATTTTGGGGTGTATTTTCAAATTTTTTTTTTTTTTTGTAATTGTTCATTAGATTGAAAACAACGTATGACGTATATTTAGAAATTGGGGTTAAACAAATGGTTTAACATGGCTTTTGAAAGTTGTTGCATTATATTATTATACAACTGTTGTATGAAATCACTCCCCTATATGAAAAGTCTTAAAAACGTCAAGAGGCAAATTGCTATAGTATTTCACCACCGTCACAGACATACTATGTCCGTGATGGTTTCGCCTAAAAACTGCCATTGACCTACAGGGTTTGTAGCAGTCCCCATATATTTTTTGGGTCAATTTTTCGTGAAAAGAATCCTGTCATAGACATGTTATATCCGTGACATACCACCACGGCTATACTATGTCCGTGGCGATCTTTAATCCACGCTGTCCAAAAAAATCGGACGGCGTCGAGCCTATGGGCAAAAATACTGTTCATTTTCGCCCATAGGCATTTTGTAGTATATATATAAAGGTAATTTAGTGAGAAAAACTGGCCCCTACCTGTTTATTTAAATAGCTTACGAGTTAGTTTTTTTGAAGGTGTTAGTATAATGGTGTCCATGTGAATGGAAACCACAATATGGCGACTAGGGTGTGGTTGTGTGTCCGCCACAAGCCCAGCCCCTTTCCCATATCGACCATTATGTCAGCAATCGAAAATGAAAGGGTTAGGAATTTATTATTTGTGTTGTCATATTAGTTAACCCTCTAGAAAGCTTGGCTAATGTTCATGGAAAATCCATGATATATGGTAGTATGAACTTGGAAAAACAAGCTTTTTCGTGTAGTTCCATCTGTAAACTTTCCTATAAATTGAAGATAGTATAACCAAGAATAGCATATGGAGGGGAGAAAAAAAGGGGTTGTTGGGAGTTAGGAGGCAGGGATTTCCTTGTTCCTCCTCGTAGAAATATAGAGAGGAAAGCATATAAGATGTGATCCAGAGAGAGAGAGAGAGAGAGAGAGAGACTCCCTAGACGAAGTGTTGAAAGATGGGAACACGACGATCCAAGTTGAAAGACCACTAGGTGGATCAAGGGACCACAAGAGTTAGAAGAAGAGAAGGTGGAGGATGGCTTAAATTAAATGATGACGTTGCTTTCATTAGAAGATGCTAGTTTTGTACGCTTTTAGAGAATGAGTATAATTTAATTCTAAGTTGAATTATCACTTTCAAGGTATTACATGGGTCTACAAGGTCCAGCAACGGGCCAGGCCAACCTTGGCCCTAGCCTGGCCCTGGTCCTTATTGGGCCAATCCAGAACGGGCCAAAGAGGCCCTACCTTAGGCTCAATCCTGACCCAGTCCTAGTTAGGCTGGCCAGAGGTAGGCTTAAGGAAATAAATAAAAAATTAAGGAACAAAAGGATCGGGCTGGCATCCCTATCATGCCATGGCCCTGACCCAGCTCTCGGGTCATTGTAGCTAAGCCCTTGGGTCATATTTTTGTGGCCCATGCATTCAGGGCTGAGCCAATTTGGCCGAGTCGAGCAACCTGTCCCATTGCCACCTTCTTACCTCATATATCTTACCTCTTATGTATAGCCTACCACACAAATTTCAAATATCCTCTAAACAATCAAATTGGAGCCTACCACAAAAATTTCATTAGAAGAGGTTATTCTGATGCCCAAATATCCTCAAATTGATTATCTCGACACCAATATGTACGGACTTGAGAAAAAAATGGATTTCAAGTTTTAGAAATAGTGTATTTTGTAATGCATTTTTGGACCGTCAATTTTCAAGATTTTCAAGTTTTCATAGATTTGTCGATCTACACTATTTTTTGAAGCTTTAAACTTTATAAATAAAGATAAAAATATATTTTAATGTTGTTACAAAGATTTTCAGTATTGAAACTACATTTCTCAACCCTATTTAATGGTAGGCTCTAATTTGATTGTTTAGAGCGTAGGCTCTATACAAACCGCATCCAATATGAATATCGGTGTATCAAGTACTAACAGCCATTCACTATAAAAAAGGCACGAACAAATAGAAGTTTGCCAGATATCCTTAGCTTCCATAAAAAGAAGTTGTTCAGCCCCTTAAAATAGGATATCATGCGGCTTTACAAATAGAAGCCTGGGGGGTGCAAATTTATGAAATAGCAGTCCATTCGACGCCCCATTTGATGTGTTTTTGGGAAAAGGTGTGACTTATAACGCATATCTAAATGTTGAGGAAAGATACGAGTTCAAATGTTATATATTATATAAAAAAAGTTTATAAGCAATTTCAACTTACCACACATCTTACCTGTCATTATTTTTTATATTATATCCTAAATCCCAACACTATTTTTTTTTATGAAAATTATCGCAAATATACCAATGTTTTCGTAAAATTGAAAAAAAATCCCAAACTTTCAAAAACCTCTTTTACACCCAACTTTCAAAAATACTCTTCACAGTAGTCTTTCTACCGTAATATATATTGCAAACTTTTAAGTAATATTACGGTACTTTAAGTACCGTAAAACTCTCATGAAGCCAACTAAAACCCATTATACGACATTTTAAGTACAGTAAAAACTAACCCATGTTATAAGACACTTAAAATGCCGTAAACCATTTTCTCATTCTTTTATATTTATCTTTTTCATCTCTAATTTTATCTCTTCTTTCTCTCTTTAATTCCTTTTAATATTTATCTTTTCTTTCTCTCTCTAATTCTTTTTAATATTTATCTTTTTTTTCTCTCTACAATCTTTTCCTTAGATAATATTTATCATCCTCGTTTCCTTAGATAATATTTATCTCTTTCATTTCTAATTCTTTTTATGTTATCTATTATTTCTCTCTCTAATTCTTTTTAATATTTGTCTCTTCTTTCTCTCTCTAATTTTTTATTTATCTCTTCTTTCTCTCTCTACAATTTCATCATTGTTTCCTTAGATAGTTCATGTCCTCTGTTTTGCATAGCCGAAGTCAGTGTTTGATTACTCAAACGAGCCAATTTGGACACAGCGAAATATCCCAATTAGGGAGAGAAAATATTTAGAGAGAGAAAGACGAGATAAATATTAAAAAGAATTAGAGAGAGAAATAAGAGATAGAATCAAAGATGAAAGAGATAAATATAATCAAAGAGTAGGGTATAGCACATTTTAAGTACCGTATAACATGGGTTAGTTTTTTCCGATACTTAAAATGCCATATAATGGGTTTTAGTTTTTATGGTACTTAAAGTACCGTAATTGGCTACATGGACATGGCCAGAGTTTTAGTGTACTTAAAGTATCGTAGTTAATATCGTACCGTATAACATGGGTTAGTTTTTACGATATAACGGGTTTTAGTTTTCATAGTACTTAAAGTACCGTAATTGGCTTCATGGTCATGGCCAGAGTTTTAGTGTACTTAAAGTATCGTAATATTACTTAAAAGTTTTATCGTATTTTAATTACCATAAAACTTGTAATATATATTGCGGTATAAAAACTACCGTGAAAGACTTTTTTGTAAAAAAAAACCCCAAAAAGAGTGGGAAAGGATGTAGACGAAGTTTTGAAAAGTTTAGGTTTTTTTTTTTAATTTTACAAAAATATAAGTATATTTGTGATAATTTTATTTTTCTTTATATCTAACCCACCAGTCAAATAGTCAATGAGTTTTAGGACCAAAATGCCATTTGTTATCGATCTTCCCCTTTCGAAAAGATTGGTCACGTGTTACCAATTTGTCTCGTACGTTTTCTACCTCTCTCCTATTCTCTCTCTTCACCAACCCTCTCTCACATTCTCTTCTCTCTATCCATTCTCTCGTTCTTTTTCTACCCACCGTCATTCCCATTCTCTCTACACTAAATGATACAAAGCTTGAAAATATGGTCTGATACAATTGAAAAACATGCCGACAAAAAGATTTCGATGCGGCACATGGTCCGACACAGAGTATGCTGGACCACATTTTTTAACATACAAGGCTTGAAAAACATGCCAGGCTGCAAAAAATAATTCGCTTCGGCACAAAGATTGTTGGACTACATTTTTTAGCGATAAAGCTTATGCAAAGTTACCAGAGTGTACCGGACAAAAAATTTTTGTTTGCAATCTTGTGCTAGATTGCTAAAAAAAATTCAGGTTCCAATAGTTTTATGACTAAAAAATGCACTCTAACACAAAATGTGCTAGACCGCAAAAAAAAAATCAGTCCGGCACAAAATATGCTAGACCGCAAAGTAGAGAGAGAGAATATGGATAAGAGAGAGTTGCTTTGGCTGGGTAAGTAGAGAGAGACTACCGATGGGACTTTATTTTGGCTTTTGGATAAGTATAGAGAGAGTTTGGGTTAGCATATGCGTAAGTACATAGAGAAAATATGAATATAAAATAATAAGTTAAAAATGGAAGAGAGAAAAAAAAAAAGGCGTATTGGGGAAAAAAAAAAAATAGTTTGACTGTTGACTAAGGCATATATACAAGTTTTCATATATCTACTCGATTTACTTTTGACGCTTTAAATTTTGAAAAAAGTTTATATAAGCCTAAGCTCTAAACAATCAAATTAGATCCTACTTCAAAAATTTCACTAACAGGGATGGTTTTGATGCTCAAATATCCTCATATTGATCATGTCGACATCAAGATACATGGACATGAAAAAAAAAAAAATTTCAAAATTTGAAAATAGTACATTTGGCAACACAATTTTGGACAGTCAATTTTCAAGTTTTCATGGATATATCGATCTAAACTATTTTTTAAGCTTTAAGTTTTATAAATAAAGATGCAAATATATTTTAAGGCCATCACAAATATTTTCATTATTGAAACCACATTTCTCGACACTATTTGAAGGTAGACTCTAATTTGATTGTTTAGGGCCTATGCCTCTATACAAATCGCACCCTTAAATTTGATAATTAAAAATAAAAATATATTTTAAAACTATCACAAAGATTTCCATTATTGAAACCACATTTCTTGACACTACTTGATTGATACTACTTGATGATGCGCTTAAATTTGATTGTTTAGAGCCTCGATCTATACAAACCGCACCCTTTCATAAACTGATGGGGGCCTTGAGCAATTTTTATTTATTTATCTCTGCTTCCTTTGAACAAGTATGATTATGATGATGGATGCCTAAGTGTCTCTTTTCTTTTTTTTGGAGGTTGGTTGCTGAAGTTTTTGAGGTCAAAACTGTTTACTACCATACCAATCTTCCTTATCAAACATTAAATATAACCCAAATCCTGGAACTTTTCTTCCAAGAACAGCCTCCACGCCCTCAATGGTGTAACATCACTTGACAAATACTTTTCCTTCTTTCTGGAACTCATCATCAAGCCTTTAGCTGCAAAGCCCACTAACTCTGTTGGGTCCATGAATCGACATAACCTCGATGTTATACCGCCTTCATAAGAAAAACCCATGGTTGCATATCTATTCTTGGCAATAGGATTAGTCTTAAGACCCCAAGAGTAGTTCCGAGCCTCAACTGAATGCAAATGAGTTGGCTGAACCGGCGATGTGTCCTGTGCTCCGAGTATAAAGTTTCCAAACCCAAAAGCCTCCCAATCAACCTGTTCCATTATCTCACTAACTCGTCTGTCCTTTTCAGGTTGCCAAGCCTCACCCAGGATTCTCAGTTCAAGATCTAATTTCTCTACGTGGGTTTTCAGTTCCTCCAATCGATTCCCAATTCTCGAAGAAACAGCATCATAAAGAGCTCTCCTCGAGATGTTTGGATAGCGTCCCAAAGAGAGAAGCAAGTCATCGAATTCTATAGGGTCGCCTACAAGAACAGTAACCTACAATAGAAATGAGTATGTAAGCAACAGGGGTTGCTCATATGAAAAAAGCAATGGGACTGTGCACCAAAAAGCTACATAGGTTATCCATGGATTGTAAAGATTGAGAGTTTAACAGTGGACGTTGTGTATACCTGCTTGCCGACTTTTGGGATGCTGGTCCCTACTGGCATGATTTCTTGCATCCCTGTGTGCACAAAAGGAACTACTAGGGGCATCTTATTGGCATCCATCACCAGCCTGAGAAACCCCATAAGAGGAAAACTGTCAGGGGGGGAGAGAGAGAGGAAGAGAGAGAGAGAGAGAGAGAGAGAGAGAGAGAGAGAGAGAGAGAAGAGAGAGAGAGAGAGGAGGAGAGAGAGAGAGAGATATGTGAGGCAATGATAAAGGTGAAGCATAAGATCGCAATAGACACCCAGAAGCTGATCAAGAAAGCTTCAATACGATGAAGCAATAAATACAGAATTACTCAGAGGTACACATCTGCGAAATCTATCATATTATTATTCATAGAGTTTGATCTGCACTAAAGTAACTTCACTTAGTACCGACCTAGATGGCAAGATATATGAAAGCAACCTTCTATTCTCTTATGGTCTTACCTTCCAATTCCTCGCTTAGAAGAACCCATGGTTTTACCGCCATCACGGGAACGGCTACCCTCAGGAAATATATGAACCCACTCTCCTCTGTTTAACTTTGAAAGTGCCATATCCATTCCCTACAGCAGACCCAACAATTGAATGATCCATTATTTATTCAAACATGAGAGTTGACTGAGGAATACCAACACGATAGATTAAAAAAAACATAGGAATATAAAATTACGCATTTAAGAAAAGAATTTCCAAATTATACTGCGTGAATTAGATGCAGTACCCCTAACTAAAAATAAATACCATTTGGTAAACACCTTCACCACGGGTAAGGGGCAGGACTTTGACAGCCCGGAAGAATGCAGATGTCATTGGATTGCGAAAACACCTATCCGTGGCACAAAGAGTCCACCTCAGACTACGAGCATCAAGTAAAACACTAGGGGGTAGTAGAGATGCTATAACAAAAGGGTCATCTACAGCCGCAACATGATTGCTAACCTGCATTAACACCAAGTATTAAACGGTAACAAACGGTTTCTACTTGTAAAAGAAAAATCACATTATAAAGAAGTAATGAACTCAAATGATGAGAGAATATCAACTAATAAGCAAAAGCAAACATCCCAAAAGAGAAAAAGAGTAAGACGGAAAAAAAGAGAGGAGAAGAACAGGCGAATAAGAAGAAATTCAGCATCTTAAGCAATGTAGAAGTGGTAAGTAAAGAATTCTTACAATTATTTCCAATTCTAAACAGCATACAGTTTTAGCATTCTCAACTTGGACAAAAAAATATTCCATTATAGCCATAACCAAAGTATAGTGATAATATAAAATGATAATATCCACACATAGAATTAGAGGTGGATGAGGCAAGTGGAGATGTGCATAAGGAATTTTATGTGATTGCCGCATGCTATTGAAATTGAAGGGGAAGTTCTATAGGACGGCCATAAGACCAGTCATGCTTTATAGGACAGAATGTAGAGTAGTCAAGAAATAATATTATGCAAAGGATGAGCGTAGCTGAGATGAGGATGTTGAGATAGATGAGCGGCAAGACAAGAAAGGATAGATTTTAAAATTTATACATATGAGGGAACTTAAGTGTAGCTTCAATAGAAAAGGAGCTGGGGTCGGGGTGGTAGCATCCCCACATCCAGTTACCACATCATGGCATCCATTCCTACCATTGACACCCCCAAATAATACCTTCAAAAATGTTGACTCCCTGATCTATTGAAAAAAACGAATAGGGGTTTGTCTTCCCCACTGAATTACCCAAAAAAAACAAGTGTAGCTTCAATAGGTAATAAGATGAAAGAAAGTATACTTAGGTGGTTGGCCATGTACAATGTAGACCTAATATAACATCGATTAGGAGGTGCTATGTAGTTCAAGTGGAAGCTCTAAAAAGGGCAAGGGGAAGTCCCATAAGGACATGGATAGAAGTAATGAGAAAAGATATGGCGATTTATGGTCTTACTGAGGGTACGACTCTTGAGAAGAATGAAGGAACAAGATTCATGAAGCCAACCCCAAATAATTGGGATAAGGCTTGGATGATGATGATGATGACGACATGAAATGATAACATAAGCAATATCAACTAGTATATTAGAATTTTAAGCTAAATAATTATATTATTGTATGCTAGAATTTTAAGCAAAGTATTCTTTTATACCTTGGATCAATAATTTTTAAGTAAATTATCTTGAATCAATAATTCAAGAAAATAGAGAGATCGAAGAAGATGGCACACACAGAATTAGAGCTGAGTGGTTGAAGTGCAACTGGAATTTTATGTGATCGCCACATACCAATGATGCTAAAGCGCAAGTTCTATAGGACAACGGTGAGACCAATTTTGCTCTATAGGGTGGAATGTTGGGCGGATACCCATAGAATGAGTGTAGCGGAGAAGATGTTGAGATGGATGAGTGGGAAAGTAAGAAGGGATAGAATTCGAAATGAATCCATTCGATAGAAATTAAGCGTGGCACCAATAGGCAATAAAATAAGTGAGAGTAGACTTAGGTAAGTTGGTCATGTGTGGCACCAACCAAGTAAAACACATATTATGAGGTGCGAGTTAGTTCAAGTGGAAGGACTAAAAAAGGCAAGAGGTAGGCTCAACATGACGTGGTTGGAAGTAGTCCGAAAAAATATAGGGACTTATTGCCTCACTGAGGGTATGGTCATTAATAGAGTAGAATGGAGAACCTAATTAATTGGGAAAAGGCCAAAATGATGATGATGATTCTTTTATATACAAAGTCACATCATCATCCATGCCTCATCCTAATTATTTGGGATCGGCTACATGAATCCTATTCCTCTATTCTTCTCTATCAAGGATCATACTCTCGGTAAGACATGTTCAGGATTCATGATAAGATGTGACATAGTTTTATGTTGGCTACCTAGCTAACACAAACCCACCTCCTTTACCCGGGCTTGGGACAGTTTAAGAAAAGTTTAAGGTCCTCACCCTTCTTAGACCGTACAAAATCACAACATACAAAGATAAAATTAAGGAGGCATCAAATAAGAGGACCTTAAGAACCATCCCTATATGTACTCACATCTTCCCTTAATATACTCACATTTGCTAGACTGATTGACCAAATCAACCACTCAATGAAAAACACATGTAATGGCAACATTAAAACTGACCAAATTCACATCCAAGCCCCAACCTATACTTATTCCAAAGAAAAAAAAAAAAGAAGCAACCTTTACAGCAAACACAATCTCAAATTTTCAACTTTCTTTTCAAGAAACACCCCCACATAGTTTCTCCTTTTAGAAACTATATTTTTAAAAAAAAAAAAAAGTTCTCTCTCCTCTCTCTTTGACATAAAAGGTAACCCACATAAACCCCCCTTCTATGTGTGTGTCTCTCTATCTCTCTCTCCACCTACCCCACACCCCCCCCCCTCCCTTTCTGTCTCTCTTTCTCCTTCAGTCTTGTTAGAGGTAATATACGCTGATTCAGATTTCCTAAGTGCCACTCATGCCAAAGCCCTGCTCTCTCTCAAGTCTCTCTTTATCTCCACCCTACCCCACACACGCCCACTTCTGTCTCTCTTTCTCCTTCAGTCTTGTCAGAGATAATGTATACTGCTAGATTCCCCCCCCCTCCCCTCCTCTCTCTCTCTCTCTCTCTCTATCTCTAAGTGCCACTTCATGCCATAGCCCTGTTTCACATTTTCTATCCCTAGACCACCATTTCATGGCTGCAGCAACAATCTCCATCCTTCAAAACCAGCCACCTATCATTGACAACTCTTCATATTGCGTAAGAAATTTCAGATTTCCTTGCCTTTCCAAAATGCCTAACCAACTCACATGATCTTGATTCTCCACACATCCCATGCATAATCAGTTAAAGCTATGGCACAAGTGTTGCATAGATAGAAGAAGAGCATTTCAAGAAAGGGGAAAGAAGCCATCAAAGGGCTAAAAGAGGAAAGCATGTCAGAGGGCAGGTCTGCATTGTATTTTGAGACAAAACCAAAGCTGAATTTTGTAACATGGAGGGCACTTTGCAATATTAATAGGGGGCGATTTGTGTAGAGCCGAGGCTCTAAACAATCAAAATAGAGCCCACCTTCAAATATTGTCGAGAAATGTAATTTCAATGCTGGAAATCTTTAACTAGCCTTAAAATATATTTTCATTTTTAGTTATAAAATTTAAAGCTTCAAAAATAGTGTAGATCAATCAGATTTATAAAACTTGAATAACTTAAAATTGACGGTCGAAAAATGCATTACAAGATGCACTATTTTCAAACCTTAAAATCCATTTTTTTCTCAAGTCCACGCATCTTGATGTCAAGATGATCAGTTTGAGAATATTTGGGCATCAAAACAACCTCTTCTAGTGAAAATTTTGAGGTAGTCTCTAATTTGATTGGTTAGAGGCTAGGCTCTATATAAAATTTTCCCATATTAATAAGGGGAATAAATCGCAAACAAATCCATGAGGGCCTGAATTTCTAAGGTCTGATTTCTGAAGAGCACATAGTCCTCCGCTAAAGATATGGATTGATAGCTTCAAGGTCATGTATAGGGTTTCTTGTGCTAAAGCGAGGGCAAAGAGACCCTATAAGTGAGGGCAAAGAGACCCTATACATGATCTTTGTAGCTAAAGATATGGATTGATAGCTTTGTAGAAAAACATCTAAAAGGTTGTGATTAGATCAAACAAAAGCACGGTATCATACTGCATGGCAATGACACAGACATACATCCTAAGAAATGTAGCATATGAAGTATAGATTTAAGAGTAGGAATTATGGCTCTACTGCAGGTGGGGTGGGGGTTGTTGGTTTTCTAACAGATATGAGAGTGGTTGAGGAGAATATATTTATTTTAAATATAGCTTTTAATTTGAACCAATATGAAAGGTATTTTAGTCTGAATGCACTGAAAATCATATAAGGGACTTCTTATATGAAAATTGGGTCTGTGTTTTCACCAAAAAAAGGGTGGAGTTTTTCGTAGTGATAGTTGTGAATTGGGGATCGGATGTAAATTTCCATTATAACTACTATACTTCCACAGACACAACCCACTGAAGCATCTATCAATGTATTCAGCTTCAAAAGGCTAAGGAGAAGTTCAGTGGTCACTATGTTTAATCATACGGAAAGCTCTAATACTGTTCAACTTTCTGCAACCAAGCCATGCTCATGTGTTTCAAGGTTTTTCTGCATCACGAGTTGCAGAAATTACTCTTAAGATGAAATCTAAGGTAAAATTATATATATATATATATATATATATATATATATATATAT